TGAAAGGAGAGCTCCCTGATGCCACTGGCTTACACAGTGCCTCCTGTGGAGGCCAGTGGGGTTACTCTGAAGGGCAGCTAGAAGGACTTAGCATTTTTATTTTTTATTAATTAATTAACTGCACAGCCTTGCTGCAGTTAGGGGCGTTATACTTCTGTCTCTGTTTACTTCTTTTCACTGCTATGGCATAGATGTACCCCGAAAGTCAGGTGTTGAAACTTAATGCTGGATCGTGCCTGCTGCTGACAGGTCCTCAGGAGTGACTAAGTCCTGAGGAAGGAGACCTGTGCGTGGGATTCAGACTCTAACCAAAGGGCTGGAAGGAGGTGGTTCCTTCTCCTCTCAGTCCTCTGAGTCACAGGGTTGACTCTGGAGGACACAGCAATAGTCCTACATTCCATTTCCATCCCCAGCTGCTCTGCTGCTCAATAACTTTCAGCAATTAACCCAAACCTGTCAATCCAATTTTATTTTTAAATCACTATTGAGCAATCGGACTTTTAGGGTATCACTGTCTGTAAAACATGTACAAATTTGTCTGTAAAACATGTCATAGAATCCATTTTTCTATTAAAGATCTGAGAAGGGTTTAATCCCAGACACAGCATTAATGGGATTTCCTTGTTTTTTTTATGTAACTGGGTTCATCTCTACTTTCCACTGAAGGGAGACAGTTCAACAATTGTTTTGGCTCCTGTGATGAAGAAATTGGGTACCAGGAATGGGACAGACACAGGTTTGAATTCTTGCTTTGCCACCTACTTACACAAGATACCTCACCTCTCCGAGTCTTTCTGTTCAATGTAAAAAGTATGATGACTTTTACTAGAACATTCATGTTAGTAGTTGGGAGACATACTGGTCCTGTCCCTGGAAACAACTGTTTACATCTCAGGGACTTTGTTGGAGACTGTCTGAACTAATTATAAGGCATCCTGGTGAGTCATGCGAGCCCACTTTGAATTTGAGCCACCAGCAGACTAAGCTGAACTTGCATAGAAAACCTTTTGGTAACTAACGTGGGGTTGGGTGATTTTAAGCCAGTGTTCAGTCTGTGGCAGAAACAAAAAAAAAAGATGAGTCTGGAGCAGCGCTGTTCCTTTAATTGAAGGAACATTTTCGTGTTCTCAGATCTATTTTAATCTTAAGTGCCGATTATGATCATTCTCTCCTGTTAACAGACACTTCTGTAAGTGATCCGCACACAGAGAAATACGATTCTTACATAAATACTGCACCAGGAGAAATTATCTTATTACCTAATATGCCAAAAAGCTAATAAGATAAAGAAATGGTACGAGTCATTTTTGGACAGTATTAAACTTGCTTTTAGCTCATGGAAATAAAATGTAATTTCCTTTTATTATTCCTCTCATCAGGTAGAACAAAGGCAGTGGAGGATGTTTATTCCACAGCAGTGTTCCTGAGTTCTCTTTAGGGTTGGGGGAGAAATTCAGGCAGGATGGCCTCAAATTAAGATTGCAATGACTTCCATTTAGGAAGTATGTTCCTTCTGTCTGCCAGGCATGGTTTTTGAATTCACATTCGAAAGTGAAAAATGAAGCTTCTTACTTAGTTGTACAAAACTTGTCTCTCCCTGCTTGCATGGATGTATCCGTTGAGAAGTAAATATACGTAGTTTATACCTGTTTGCGTGTGTGCTTCCATTAGGGATCAGATGCACAGTACCTACAGTGAGGCTTAGAGGGGTGGAAGGTTCTTGAATTGTCTATTGCAAAGGCAATTCTGTGCCAAATTGGGATGTTTAAGTTATCTAAGATGGCTTAGCCCCAAGACTTTGAATTGTTGTTCCTTGGGGGAGATGAACATCATATTTACAAATGAATAAACAATTGGTTTTGAAAGAAATTTAAACAGGACTCAAATAAATAAGAATTTCTGGCTGAAATCATCATCCTGTCAGTGTGTGATCTGGGGTGATGGAGGTCAGTAATGTTTTGATCTGAGCAGTGCTCATATAATATGGTTACAGACACAGCACACACACACACACACACACATACACACTTACACTCGTCCTATCTTTTCAATAGAAATAAAACTAAGTAAATGCTGTCAGCTTTCTGTGACATGCAATTTTTCATCCAAGCAAAATATAATGTACCCTGGACCTCAAAGAAATTTAATAATCTCTCTGCATTCTTGTGATTCGCTAGAGCTACCTACAAACACCCACAGAAACTATATTTGCCTGGAGATTTAAGGTAATGGATGGACAGCTGCAACAAGACAGATTTTTTTTTTTTTTTAATTCCACATGAAGCAGACACATTGTGCCTATGTTGGGAAGAGTGTACGTGCAGAATGTCCTTCTAAGGACATCTTCAGAACCTATTTAAAGGCTTACATCTATTTGGGAAACCTTCTTCATAGATTTGTTGGTGGAGAGCAGGAATGAACTGCATGACTGCTCTGCATGACCAGAGCATCTTTCCATAGTTCGACACCGTCGTGAGCCCTGACGAGTGGCAACTATCGCAGGGTTAAATGCAAAGCTTCTAGACCCTACACACACGCTTGCGAAGCTGTGTTACCTTTTGGGGACAACTATGTGTTTAAGTCCTCATTTTCCTTTACAAACCAAACATGGGGGCTTGTATTTAGAGAAAACTAAAGGGACCTTTTGAGTTCAACTGTTGAGGTTCAGGGTGACTTAGAGGTTTAATATTTAACTTGGTTAATTAAATCCCATTCTATGCTCTGAATTTAATTATCCCAACTGATGTGGTAATTTACTATAATAATAAAAAGGGGTTAATGAGAAATGGAAGAGAATTGGACTATTCATTCATCTGGATCAGTGGGGACATTTTTTTTCTAGAAGTGTCAGTTTATGGATGGTGATGTTTTATTAGGTATTATGAATTTTCAATTAGTGAGAAAGTGAAAATGAAAGGCAGGCAGTAGATCATCAAGGAATGATCACATTCAGAAATAGGTAAGAAGCTCTTTCTGTAAAGTTTGGGGCAGATTTTAACATGATTTTATGATGAGGTAGCCACTTTTTATCTTTGTAGGTGTGGCTAAACCATGTTCTTTTTACACTGCGCAAGAAGTCTTTTTTTGGGTTCCCTCTCAAATAGAAAGTCAAGTCTTTGCTACTTCTAAATAAAAGTGAATTCAATAATGAAAGACGATCTTTCTTGTTTGGCCGTCACTTTTCAGAACAAATAGTCCGTTTCCTTGATACAGTCCTCAACCTGACCTCAGTGAAGGATGGGGCAAGAGAAGCAGACCCCAATATGGTTCAAACCTACTGGACACTGGCTGGTTTTTTCAGGGTGCTCAATCTCATGGAGCCTTGCCCGAATCACCTGCGTAATGAGGACGATGCTATTTGCCCTTCACAGACTGCTGAGAGGATAAAGTGAGAGAATGAAGTAGTCCCTACACAGCCTGCGTGACGCATATTGGATGCTTGGTAAACGCTGATGTTTTGTCCTCCTAAGAAGCCACAGATGTTTCTCATAAATAACAGATAGCAGCATGTCATAATGACGTATGGAATGCCAAATCTCTGGCATACCACCTAGGAGAGCGTGCCTCAGACTTTAAAGCACCGGGATTCACTGTGGGATCTGGCTCTGTGTAAAATTGACTTCAGTCTGAGGTTCTGCACTTCTAGCAGTCTCTCAGATGACCATACTTTAAGTAGCACAGAACTAGGGCAATGACTTCTAAATACTGAATAAACTTGTATTGGGCTAAGTTGCAAAACAGAACCTCACTCTATTTTTTTTATTTATTTAATGAGAGAATATCAGGGAATTCTACATATACTATAAAAAATTTGAATAAACACATTTAAAAATTTGGGAAGCTCAAATTCATTCTACACACTTTCATTTATTGTCTGGACAGATAAAGTACAAATAATTCAAACACAACAAGATTATGAAAAAAAACATTTACAATACTTTCCCTCAGAAATCATCTAAACTAGCAAGATTAACATGAAGTCATTCATTTATAACTAAAGTATACAACTGCCTGGTCCTAAGATTTTTTTTCCTTTTTTTTCCCCCAGATTGAACACATCATAGAGAAGAGATTTTGGCATGCCTTTCCCATGAATGCTTAGCAAATGCATCAGAACTTTGCCAGCAAACTGCATTCATTCATAGCAGGTGACATAAAAAGGTTTCCCTGAATGTTGAACGAGTGTTCTCTGAACTGAAATCTGGTGTTATTTATTTATTTTTCTCCAAAAACCGAAAAGAGGAAAAAAATAGAAAAAAAATTTAAAGGAGTAGTCTATGATGCAGCCTCGGTTTTCGTTATCTGTCTACCACTACGACGACGACTACAAAGTTTGCCTCTTCAGTGTGCAAACAACAGTCCTGTCTACATGCACTTAGTGGGTTCAGCATGGGAAAAAATGCACAAAATAAGCACAAGTTATAAATAACCATAACGTTTTATTACCATTAAGACTAAACTTGTATTGAAAAGATTTTATGTAACAAGACAAGAAAAGCAATAGCAAATTGTACTATCAACTAGATTATGCATAGCGAGTAACTGTTTCTATTACCCAGGGAAGAGCATGAACTCTTGGATTTTTTTTTTTGTTTAATTTTTGTTTTAAATATATAACCGTACAAAGCACAAACGTACTAAAATGATCAGTGCGCTGGACATGGGAGCGTGCTCCCACAATCCTTTTGTTCCCTTAGCTCTGTTTAGTTTTCCCCAATCTGAATTACATTGAAATAAAGACCCAGTGTTTTCAAAGTTTTCTACTGTGCAGTAAGAAAAAATATTCACAACAAACATGACAATATAGCAAACAATAGTTCTACACAAGTTACCTTGATACCTCTTTAACTGTCACTTAAATATCATAAGAAAACATTTTAAGACATATACAAACAAAACTAGCCAAGTGTTACAACTTATAATAAATTAACCAAAGAAAAATAACTTTATATATATATTTATATTATATATACACATACACACACAACAGAATGACACAATAATATGCTTCTTCCCAAAGTTTAAGTAAACAAACAAGTAGTCTAGCCAATCTAGCTATATTTGATCTTGGCCATAGGCATCATCACATCTGCAATGAAATAAATAAGTGTTTCAAGCAACATAAACAGTGTTTCAAATGTACCCACACAGCCCAATTTTATCAGCATGGGCTACAAAGTGAATTTGAAAATTGCTTAATGAATGTAAAGCAAAGGTATCTTTTTTCTTCTCCTAAACACGTTTACACTTAACTGTGATACTAAGATATGTAAATAATTTTGTAGCACCTACTGCTCAAACTAAGGAAGTTTTAGGTTAAAAAGAAAATGAATCTTTTTTAATTTTTGTTCTGCTGACATCCCATACTGATGACTTAAAGAAAAACTGTCTTTCAACTCATCTCCTTGCTTTTGGGTTTTGACTGTGGGGAACTGTGGTACCCTGGGTAGAACGAACACTCCTTTCCCCTAGCAATTAATATTTTTTTATTATTATTACATGCTATGAAAAGATATGAAGATCATCTGTTTATAGCCCATCCTTCAAAAAACAGTCTACGAATCCAGTTTAAAACACACATCTTGATCTCTAAAAAGTTACCAGTGCAGTATGAACGCGACAAAGTTGTCAATTTCCCCTAAATTAGCCAGTCAAAATATTTTTTTCTCAAATCCAGATTCTCTTGTAAAAATTCTTTATATTTTATAAAAATAGATTTTTCTTGAAACCCATTTTCAGCAAAGAGACCACCTCTTTGGCAACAATGTTAATGTTATTAAATTGTTAATGTCATCAGGTACCCCCTTTCCCCATCCCCTAACAGAAGACTGTTTTAGTTCACATGATATAAAAGAAAAAAGGAAAAATAAAAAAATTTGCAAAAGTTTTTTTTTTCATTTTTGCAATTTTTATTATTCCTCTTTAATTTGTGTGGGGGTTTTTAACCAATCTGATTGGATCAACATTTGACAAAAAAGAAAAATCTTTTTTTTTTCCTCCTTTGAATCCCATTACTTTGTAAAAATTGTTTATTATTTTTTTGTGTTTTTTGTTTTTCTTCTTCAAATGAGCGAATGGTCATCTTAAAAAGACCCACCTTCAAGGAAGGTAGTAAAGTTAGCTGGCTGGGTAAAAATCCCTGCACATTGCTATCTATGTATATTATATTCAACAACGACAGCTATGAAAGAACATTCAATGCATCAAAGTATTTTTTTTTGTTTTTTTCTTTTTTTTTTTTCTAAGCATTATAAAATCCTTTCCTGGTACACCTCAGGATAATCCAATGTTTTAATACTCAGGCAACATGGGCTTATAAAGTCCATGATTGAATATAAGCCTTGTAAAGTTTGTCTCTCTCTTTTGTGTATGTGTGTGCGCGGGTGTTTTGTTCTTATATATTTATATATATATTTTAATAAGTATGGGTGAGAAATTCAGGACTTGTGGGCTTTGTTGGTTTTAAAGGAAACTTGCAACACTCTGTCTCCCAGGCGATAACCATTGAGGCTGGCGATGGCCATGGCTGCCTCATCGTAGTTGGTCATGGTGACAAAGCCGAATCCCTTGCACTTGTTGGTGTTGAAGTCACGGATGACCTTGACGTTGTTCACTGCACCGAAGGGGCCAAAGAGCTGCCAGAGGACACTCTCATCAGAATCAGGGGACAGGTTATAGACGAAGATGCACCAGCCTGTCCCTGTATGACCAGGGATGTTCATTCCCACAAGACTTGTCATCCCGTCAATCGTGATTGGGGAGAACCTGGGGGGACAAGCAGAAGGGGGGACTGGTCCAGACATCAGTCTGACCATGGATGACACACAGATGCACAGACACAGACACGGGGCAAAGGGCTGAGTGAGTGTTTGCAGGAGAGTCTTCAGGGTTTCAAAACCAAAACGCAAAAGCTAACATCTGTGATCTTTCCTCCGACGGGGTGGCTGGACAGCTAAGGGATGTACATGCCAAGAGAATGGCCACGTCATTTCCTAAAAGCCACAGGAGCTCCCCCCCCCCCCCCCCGATCAAGGCTTTAAACAGCTCTAACACAGGCTATATTCATACGGTGTCCCACTCTAAACCTACCCTGCCATAGACTGAGTTCTCCGGGAAGGGACTCTGTTTCATCCGTTGCACTGCTGGGTTTATTCATTCAGTGGAGTGCATATGTGTTCTCCCAGACACAGTGGCCCATAGAAAACTACAGGTTTACTGACTGACTGAGTGACAGTTTGATGTCAATGGTTGGAAAACTTTACTCTGTGACTTTTTAGGGAGATTACCCGATGGCAGTAGTCTCAGTAATCCCAGTCCCTCCACCTCTGTCGGTGTTACTGAGGGTGGAGGGACATGAGGATGTATCTTGCTGTTGACCAGATGAATGGCTCATGTTCCATTTAGCATTCACTTGTAAGGGTTCTCCCACACAACTAGAGCAGCAATAATAGACTCCTTGATACTGTATCGTCTCGAATCTGCTTCTGAGCATCATTGGAACAAGTCCTCAAGTGGTTCCAGCAGTTACAAATTTTGAATTGCTATACATTGGAAAAGCACAAAAACACTCTTTTCTTTGGTGCAACAACTGTTGTATTAGGTTTAAAATGTCAATGTTTTTGTGTAGCATTGAAAAGAAAAAAAAATAAGCCCTTTAGATTTTATTCACTGTCTGATAAAATAAACCCATGTGGCATTTGTGATGGAAGAAACAGCTGGGATACCAGAGTCTATGGCAGGACAGTATTGGCAACACCTTGTTTCACACTGAACTTATACAGGGAATTTTGACCTATTCACTGATGACCAGATTGCTTTTCTTTTGGTTGAATTTTTTTGAGGGTCGAGGTGAAGGAATGGGAGAAGACGAAGTTCAAAATAGACAGGGGTATGAGACAAAGAGGAAGTTATGACTGCTTTTAAAAGTAAGCAGACACTCTTGGAGGCCTAGAAGTCTTGTTACATTTTCACATTTCACTAGAACTTGGATAATAACCTAAAGATATGCTAAGCAGAACAACTCAATAGATGTTATTTTTGCTATTATTCACCAAAGCAAGTTTCCATTTTGCTTACAAACTAACAATTAAACAAAAGCAAAGACCATTTATGATACACATCCTCAAAGGGGTAAAATGGCTTAATTGTTATTTGTATTTATTTTTTTAAGACTGACTTATAAAGTATTTCTCATTCAGCTGTGTGAGCCTCTGACATCTTTCAGTTTATGTATAGAAAGCAACTAAGTATTTATTATAAGGCCAACCTCAGAGTCCGGAAAGGGGTTTTAAGGAGGACTGCCACTCAAGTTGGGGATGGTTACCTGGAACACTGACGCAGGCTACCGCCAGCTCCAGGTCTGATGTGAAGGAGAATCGTGTTATTGACTAACGCTGACTGTGTTCTATTGGGTCAGGCTGGGCCGGACTGGACACCCGACGATGTGGCAACACGTGTGGAACAGTCCAGCCGTTCCTAGCCGTGTGTGTTCTAACCTTTTCCCCATAGCATTTGGTGCCAGTTCGCTGAAGTCAGAGAGCAGCAAAGACGTGGGATAGGGCTGGAAAAGATGTGGTGTGCCCGGGAAGGCGAGCAGCATGTTAGACGTTTGGAGATACGTCACAGCCAGCCTCACTGGCGCTGGGCCCGAGATTTAAGAGGCTGCTGCTCTCCGCAGGTTAAGCTGCAGTCAGCTCACTCCCTTCCTGATGTGCTAGTCTCCAGAGTGAGGGTACTTACCACACATAGTCAAGAGGCCAAAGCCTAGATAAAGTAGGGAGTGGCTGGTGGCTATTAAAGACCATGTCTCCCTTAGCCGGTGAAGGGGTAATTGAGGAGCACATCTCTACTGATAAAGAAGATGCTCTATGTCCCTGGTAGTGGAGTGGAGCCTGTCAGGCCACATGTGGGAACCTCACGGACACAGTGCACACAGTGACATAACCTACCAAAGTTTCAAGACTCTGATTTCAGGTTGGGCCTGGAAAGCCTTGTGACTACATTCAAAGTCTCAAACTCCTCACCCTGTTTTAGTCCCCAACCCCATAAAAAGGTTTAAATGAAAGAAACCTTAAATTCAACACCCCCCAACAACCGAGAGAAGACTTATAACAGCTAAAACCTGTAATAAAAGAAACCCTTGGTTGAGGTGCACACAGATACACTTCATTCTCAAAATGTGCCCAGAAATGCACAGAGGTGAGATGGGAGTAAAAGACGCCATGCATGTTTCAATTCATGATTTGGCCAGAACTTATAGTAAAAAAAAAAAAAAAAAAAAAAAAAAAAAATCTATTTTTTTCCCCACTGAAAATCATAAGATTGTCAGCCATGATGTACTAGCAAAATGTTCTAATTTTCATTTGCTGGGATCTGCCCTCTTAAACTGACTCCTGGCACTAAAAACGCAAAACAGGTGCTCGGCAAGTTTGCAAAATTAGCCAGAAAAGTCAGGGCTTTCTCCTCAAGGGAAGCCGGTCAGGACTCGATGAGATCACCCAGGGCTTTGTAGCTGTGGCACCTGAACCATGGGGAAAGCCCACCTGCGAAAAAAAGGAAGGGTGAAACACACAAATACATTTTTGTGTGCCCTAAAAGAAACAAAATTAACCGAGGTCCAAAATTAAAATTAAGAATTTGACATGCTGGTGGAAGAAAAAGGAAGAATTAAAAAAAAATTAAAAGTAAAGTTAGTGAATTAAAAAAAAAAATCTAGCCCCAGTCTGTGCCAACACGGACATCTGGCAATCTGTGGAGTTTTAATTACCTCTTTACGCCATAGGCCATATTAAGCAAATTGTCCAGCCTGCAAAGAGAAGGAGGGTCTCTGGGTTAATGCCTCGCAGATGGCAAGATCACTCAATGGAACTATTAATAAGAATGCTCCATTTTCCAAGAAGAAAAGCTCGACAACTTTCCCCACTGCTCAGGAGACTATCCACTGGTACTTCTCTCTTTTCCTCTTTCCAATTTCAAGTAATTCATGTCCATCCAGGTCAATGCTAGAGGCAAAAGCAGGTGTCTAATGAACCCTGTTTTCTTTCAAGGTCTGAATTAATTCAGCACTGCCACCCAACATTTGTGTGGACCTATTTTTATGTCGTCTGCGAAGTTGTTAAAACTGGGGGTGTTCTTAAATTGTTTACCTTTCATCACAACCAGGCTTGTGAGCAAAATGTCTCTGTTCCAGGTTAACAACACATGATCACAGACTACATATGAGCAGGCCTTTTATGTTAGTCTAGCTGCTTTAACTAAATCTGGCCACACACAATTTGGAAGGCAGAGAGTTTTTGAGAGCTAAGGTTAAAAACCAAACCAAACGAAACCAAACCAAACCATAACCAGCTTACTGCTTACAGCCCAAAGCACCTCCCAGCAAAATGTCATTATGTTATAATCTTCCTCACATACACTACCCTTCTTGGGGGCAAGCCTGTGGAAGTAGCAATCATAGTTCCCACCATTAGAAGCCTGCTGGAAAGGCTTTTTACATAAATACTGCATGTGCTTTCACACAAAATAGAAATTAGATGGCTTGGGCCTTTCATGAAGTCATTAACCTTTTCAGAGTCATCAGGCCTAGGAGGACACGTGAAGAAACAGATTTCTTCCCCCACTGTAGCCAGATGGACAGTTACTATTATAGAGGGAAGGACCTCCTATTTTCTCATGTGAGATTTGACAGTCAGAAAAACCCTTTCGTTGATGGGAAGTTGGTACGTGGGCAGAAGACAGTGGTCGCTTAGAATTTACCAAGGAGAGGTCAAGATCATGCCTCTCGCCTACGCAACAGAGGCTGGCCAGGGTCTGACTGCTGTCCTGGGGAAAACCTGCCTTTTGGAAATGTGCCATGGGGAACTAATTAGTCCATTGCACCAGGGACTTCCTGGGGGTTGGTTACCCAAAGAAAGCACTAGTAACGTATGGGTGAATCTTTCTTTCATCTTCTCAGAATATGTGACTTAAAGAGAGTAAAGTTAATATTAAAGAGAGTCTTTCCTCCTCTGGATTCCTATGGCGTTCACTAGCGGAAGAGGCGTGAATAAGCCACTCCTTGACAGGCTCTACTTCTGGGTCTATCCTGCCTTAAGTCTGAGCTGTTGTGTATGACCACATCTTAGTGCTTAGCTCCATTAAAATGGATTCTTCTTGTCTGACGAAATACCGAGATTTTGTTTCTACCAACGAATCTCAGGTTTAACGAGCAGTCACAGCGACAAGCTGGAAGAGGGCGAGTGAGAGCACCTAGTCCTGCTGGATAATTTTATAGGAGCAGCAAATGATGCTTTGGGGAAGCGCCACACAGTGATGGTTGGGTGTTCTGTCCTTCAGAGCTGTGGGCTCGCTGGCCCAAGCACTAGACCATACTGGTGTCGGGGTCGTGGGTACTAGTCTCCTTCCTCTGTGGGTATGCCTACCTGAACCTCTGAGCCTGGTGGTGAAGAGGGCCGGGGTAGCGCCTGTTGGGGGACTGATACAGCTGGGAGAGTAGGGCCTGGCTGGACTTCTGGCTGGGGTTGTTGGCAAACTTCACAGTAATCGGTTCTGTAGCACCGCTGGGCTTCTGGCCATTCAGCCCTTTGATGGCTTCTTCTGCCTCAATCCTCTTATCAAATCGGATGAATCCCACCCCTCTGGAGACTCCTGGGGGAAAGGAAAAAACATTTGTAAAGAGGGGGCAAACGTTGGTGGGTGTCACTGGAAAGCAGTGGACGAGCTTCTGGTGACTCGAGCCACATGGGAGGCCAGCTCCCTGAAGCTCTATCGCTCACCAAATGGCATCAGATGTCTGCAATGCCGAGGAGGCAGGGGCGTTGCCCTCCAAGCCTCCGCAGCTGCTCTTCTCAGTCCCCATCTACTTTTGGTTGTAAAGAACCACCCAACACTATCTAGTTCTGCAGAGGGCCTTCCTACCTCAAAGCTGGGATTGTCATCTATTTGAAAAGTAACTTCTGACTACACATGTTCCTTTAGGAACATATTCTGTGCTGCTTTTGAACCTTTTGACTGATGTACTTTATAGCTGCCACTTATTCTTTGTTGTCTTAAACAGAGACAAATAAAACCTACAAACTCCCTTTCCCTGGATCTTTGCTACATGCAGATAAAATCCAGACTTTACAGGATGGCAGTTGCTGCCTTTGGCAGTCAGGCTTTGAATCTCCTATTGAACCTCTCACCAGCCACCCTGACCTGCATTGAACAGGCTGTATTCCTTCTCAACATCATGCCCTGGGGTATACCATCCTCTGAATCTAGACTATTCTACCCCTTCCTTTTTGCCAGGAAACTGAATCATTCTCCAGAGATCTGTTCCAAAACTGCCTCTGCTGTGGAGCCATGGTGTCTTCACCAGGCACAGTGCACCTCCTTCTGAGCTCTCATGGGACACTGGACTGTCCCTAGAAAGGATATGCAACATTGGACTCATGTGAATCAGCTTTTTGTCTCCTTTATCCTTGGTCCCCAATGTCCCTCTGCACAGTGTTTGTGGCAGCAGGAGATGGCAGCATGAATCAAATAGTAAACATGCATTTTACCTCTATTCTTAGGGGTGACACTTTCAATTGGGATCAAATCAGGCAAAAGACAGTGTCACTGACAGTGCGGCCCAAACCACCTTGCGTCTCTTTCTGAGACGTGCTGACTGGGTTTCTTTCTCATGGACAAAGAACCCAAGCGCTAGAGACTCTGCTCACATACCCCTACACCATTGACTGGTGGGAAATCTGCCTCCAACTTTACATAATTCCTAATGTGTAGAATAAGGCAGCTTGGTGTTCCTTCCAGCTCTCTTTTGCTGTGATCTGGAGCTAGGGATGTACGGATAGTTTGTTCTGCATGCTGGTTAAAGGTTGAGAGAGACTTTGAAGGCCACAGAACGCTACTCCCAACTCAATACCCAAATCTTCTTTTACAATCCTGTTCAAGCAGTTTAGCTGTGGAGGCTCTGGCTTCTCAAGAGGGTCCATTTAAGCAGTCCATGTGTGAGCATCAGGAATCTGCTTGCTCAGCTTCTACTGCCTCACCTTCAACGACCTGGAACTTAACTCTGTGGGTAACAGGGTACAGATATACAGGGAGAGCAATTACAGGGAAACACTTAACCTGTGACTTGATCAACCAGGATGCGGGAGGTGATGATACGACCGTATTGCGAGAAAATCTGCTCCAGCTCCTTCTGGGTCATGGTCTTGGGAAGGCCACTAACATACAGGTTGGCATCCCTGATGGAGGCCGAGCTCGGACGGGCATAGGACACCTAGGAGAAGGTGAGAGATGCTAAATGCACCACAGACACTCATCCTTAGAGCAGAGACCAAGGCAACAACCAAGATGACAGTCCCCTGTCTCTCCTTAGGACCCATGATTCTTCTATAGGAATAAGAGCAGGAGAACAAGAGATGAACAAAAGGAGAGCTGTCGACAACTTAAAAGAAACGCGCAGATAAGGGTCTCTAAGTGCAGAACAAAATAGTACTGTATGGCAGCTGTTACACGCAGAACTACCCATGCATGGTGTTCTGAAGATTTACCTCCTGGATATGGGGGTATAGATGATCTGCTGTATCCAACACATAATAATCTTCGAATAAACCATATGTAAAAAAATAAAGAAATGACCATGAAATACTGCTCTGCACATTTCTCTCTGTGACAGCCTCCCTACCCCCATTCTCCATTTGAAGCATAAAAGCGATCAGGTTCTCTGTAAGATTTTTTTTTCTTTTTTTTTTTTATATCCCATCCTTTGTGTTGTTCCAATCTGTTCCCATGAGGTCTGCTCTCGCTGAATGACAAAGTGCTGGTGAAATGGGGTTGAATGAACATCTGCTTGTTAAACTCGATATGTGACCTTGTTGTCACATCTGCAACGACCAGTTGCCTCTAACTTTGAGGCAGGGCAGATAAAACCACAACAAACAAAATGGGGGCACGGCGGACAAGAAGGAGGGGAGGAACAGTGGGAGAGAAAAGAGAACTTCCTCGGTGGTTATAATAGGCTTGACTTTGTAAATTTGTCCTCCCAGATCTCTCAACTGCTTTTTTTTTTCCTCCCCAAAAAGCTAACATAGAGTTGTAAACAGATCTGAGATTCCATCTGCAAGAAGCCAAATCTTCAGCAGTACACATAAGCAAAGCAAACCCCAGCAGTCATTAATTTTAGACTTTCATTTACTTATTTATTTATTTTTTAAAGGAAACAACATCAGACATTTGAAATATAATTTACAGCTAGTCTAACAAAAGCACTTTCCTGCTAAAGCTATTTCTGGGGCGGTTATGGCTCAGAATAGAAGATGAAAACAGTCATTTCAGAGTACATCTGACAAACAGTGGACAGGAAGGGACCTATATGCCTTAGCATTTCTCAGCTGGCAGCTTTATTTAATCTACAGAACAGATTCAAGAAGGCCTGCTAAATCCATTAGGGTGGGAATGTGTGCATGGGTGTGTGTGTGTGTGTGTGTGTGTGTGTGTGTGTGTACATAAATGCCTGTGTGCACAACAAATGACATCCTAAACCAGACATTTGACATTAAGAGCTACACCTTGAGCAGCAAAGCCGGCCTTGTTTGTGAGATCTTCGGGCGGAGACAATAGGTGCAGAAGGAGGATGGAGGATGAGCAGCAGCCCCATACTTATGGCACATTCCCCTTCCTATGACAGGGACACTAGGTCCCTTTATGAGTTCTATACCTAAAAATAGATGTTGACTCAACAGAAAATGATGTGAATGACTAATCTGCCTCGCTAGCCTCCTCTCACTGATGGAGCCAGGCAGCTGCCTTCAGTATCTACATCTTCTGGAAACCCATGGGTGGCCTAGGGGACCTCTGCACATGCCACACTTTCCCAGCACACGGCAGGGTGGCAGAGTGGCCTCAACATCGTGTGCCTCTGTGTGCATGTGGGGCTAGGGAGCAGAAGGATCAGCAGTCCCACGTAACTGTCTGGGTGAGACTCTACGCCCCAGAACCCGCTCCTCTCCCTTGTTATCTCAGGGGCAAGAAGAGGCTACAACACAGCAGGACTGTTTCCCATTCAGGAGGAAGCAATGGTAGGAAGGAGGAAATCTGTCCATAGTAATAAGACTTACCTGTCTTACCTTGCCTATTACTGATGTCATTTGAATACATATGTGTTCTCTCAAAGTTCAACCTCCCCCACTGTGCACCTTTACTCAGGGGAAAGAGGCTAAATTATACTCTCGTAAGGGCTTAGCCCAAATGCCACCTTCTTTTGGCAGTCTTCTCTGTGTGACATTGCCTCACCCTGAGCTCCTCTTTAGTGATGCACTTGTTCTGACCTTGACTCACCACCATCTCACCGTTTTCTTGGTGTGTGGGTGTGTGTGCCTTATTTATGTCTGTCTGAAACCTGCAAAGGGCACAAAACATACTGAAAAAAAAAAAAGAATGAACACCTGGAGATCATGATGAGTGATGCCAGTGTCGTCGCTCTTCAGGGTTAACTACTGCTTGGTTTCCTCTCTAAAATGATCACTCGGCCAAGCATCCAGAATCACAGTTGTGCGGCCTCACTAAGGGATAAGCTACTTCCTCTCTAGTGTCTGAGGTTGGAAGGACCAAGAGAAGTTTGTTTCAGAATAAGACATCTCGCTCAGCAAACACTGCTGGAGCATCTACTCTCTGTAGTGGGAACACAGCACAAAGCAGGCATGTTGTTTACAACAGGAACCTCGGGATTTACTAAATAAACATGGGGTGAGCGGGAGAATGGGTGAGCAAACACAATGACCCACTGCCATGAAGTCACAAGATGCGTGCCACACCAAGGCTATATCTCAGTGTGACTCAAACACCGGGGAGGGGTAATCTGAGGGTTAGAAGGACCAGGAGAAGATGGAGCTGTAGTGGTAAGATGATGAGGAAATGGGAGCCTGGTAAGAGCCTTCCGCTGGGAGACAAACAAAACGAGGAAGGTCAAGGGTTACGCAATGCCCAGCAGTGCACAATCTCCGCTATCTGCACAACACGTAGCAAACACGTTGATCTCTACTGGTTTGGGGCAGCTAGAGCTGGGGTCCAGAAAGGATCATGCTGATGGCAGACTCCAGGGGGCAAAGGGAGGTGGCACTGAAAGAAATGACACAATCAAAACTACTTCGCCAAAGTTGATCTTGGGGCAGAATCTCAGCTTAGCTGGGGAGAATGATGGTCACAGATCCCCAGAGCCTGGTCCAGGCACAGGGCAGCGGCAGATCTGAAGGGGAACAGCATTTAGGTCATTCCATCCCCAGGCTAAGCCCTGCTTAGCTTTCCTCCTCTATTCAGAGCCACAGATTACTGTTCTTTTAGCCCTGTCTGCAAGGGGCCTCTGAGGAGAGGACTGGGCACAAGTGGCAGGAAAATGCTTTGCTCAATATGGCACCTGAAATGTTCATCTTCACACCTAAAAGAGTTTAAGTTTCCTCAAACTTTTGTTAAACTCCAGTAGAGGGACTACAAATGTCAGGCCCTTTCCTACATTGAAATATGTCCAAAAACGGTATCCTTCAGCCCTACAGAGGGCCTATCTTGATGGCACATTGACCCTCCTGAGCTGTTGACCTAGAGCTCAGGGCTCCCAGTGCTCCAGACAGTGCCCTGGAGCGTTCCTCTTGCCTCAAGCCATCGGGATCTTGCTCATTTCATTTATCCAGAGTTTCTGAGGAGAAGATGGGCGTTTCTGGGCCAGCACAGCTCTTGTTCTAGGTGAAGCTGTGGTGAAGAAGACACCCCTCCCAAGGTGAACGTGGCCCAAAGGCAGGTGACTGAACTCTGGCATCACAGACGACCTTGACAGAGATTTTCAGCATTTCCATGTGTCCAGATCTCTCTGCTTTCGAGGTTGCGGTCCCCCTACCCACTACAAAAAGGGCATAATAACAACAAACTGAAGAGCGCTGGTGCTAGAAGTGGTCTTGAAATTTCGGGGGGAACCCAAGAAGGGCTGGCTATCTACCACAGACATTTCTGAGAACACAAAGTTTGCACCTACCTGAAGACCCTACTCTAGCCCTGGCCACCACTGGCCGCTGCGAGGCCCTTTTTTTCTGGATCTCAGGAACATCCTTCCTGTTCTTACCAGGTGTTAGTTAAGAGTGTTAGGCAACCTCATTTTGAGAGAAGTTACTCCAAAGCATATACGTATGCCACTTTCACAGAAGCTGAGGTCCCAATAGAGAATGGAAAAGGATATAAAGGTTAAGAACAGTTTTGGTGTTAGAGAGCTTTAGCTATGAATCCTGTGTGACTTTGTACCTTTCTGAGTGACATCACTTGAGTAACATAGCTCAGAAGTGCTCCAAAGGAGCCACTTACATGTAAGATTCGTAGGCACAAAAGCTGGCCCAAAGTAAGTGCTCAATAAACCGTGTCTTTGACATGGTTGCTATGGTTGCTAAACAGGCCTTACTCTAGACACTGGGGAGCAGAATGTGTACAACAGTCCCTGACATGCAGGGCTGCTAGTCTAGCAGAGGAGAAACACACAGCTTCGTTATTTGGAGATCAAGCTACAGATTTCTCTCAGTCTGTTGTAACACCCGATTCTCTGAGCGAATACAAACTCCCCAGAGCAGGCAGCTCCCCAGGGGACCGTTCATTCTAAAGAAACTAGGAGAATGGCAGCAAAGAGCTGATTCTGGGCTGCCAGGGCATCTGTGTGCAAGCCCTCCCAGGGACCTGGAATCCCACCTGTGGGAGCAGGGAGACCAGAAAGCAGCCAGCTGGCTCCTGGAGACAACGCCTTTGACTGTGAGGACTGGTTTACTGCTGCGCCTGTGGACACAGCCCTCCTCACAAACAGGATGGGTTCTGCTTTTGCAGCTCCATCCTTTCTCTTCCTTTCTGCACCTGCCACCCGATACATGCTATTCTGAAAAACATCCTGGGGTGAAGCCTCATGGTAGCTTTCCAGGTGCAGTTTGCTCCTGTCACAGCTTTCCCCTGCTCAGAACTCTAGTGTGTCTTAAACCCCTGGAAATGGAAGTCTTCACCTAGGCATGCAGAGCATCTGGCCCGACCTCTCAGCTCCTGCTGACCTCTATCTGCATGCACCCTGTGCTCCAGTTCAGATGGAGACACAGTCACAGGCTTCTGGATATGTATCGAAAGTTTTTACCTCCACGCTTTTGTCCTTTCTGACTGTTTATTCTCATGGCAAAATGAATTCCTGCCTACCTCTGTAGGTGTAGCTGTGTTCTTCATGAGGCCCAGGCAAACATAACCATCCTTTCCTTGACAGTGTGTATC